GGGGCGGGGTTGTTTCTTTACTGGAATGAATATAAAGTATAGTATTTAACTTTACTATATTTACTTTATATATAAGCTAAGTATAGTTTTATTATTATTATAGTGTTAAATATATTATTAATATATTAATTTCTTTTTAAAAACTATAATATATAAAATTAATAATAAAAAAAGAGGTATTAGCTTATTTTTCTATATTATAAAAGGCTTATTAAAATATATAATTACTTATAATTATATAGCTTTTTTAAAGTAAATTAAGGCAGGTTAATACTTTTTATTAAAATATATTAATAATATATTAGTAATACTTTATTAATTTCTTATAGCTTATTTAAAATTTAAGGGATAGGTTAATAATAAGGCTTAAGTTATTATTATAAGCAGGCTATACTTTACTTTTTTTAATATAATTAAAAAATAATAAAATACTTATAAAAGTTATATTAATTATATAAAGGTCTTTTATAAGGCTTTTTATAATATAAATAGCTATTATATAATATTAATAATAATAATTTAAAAGTAAGTTTATATAGCCTTTTACTTATTTTAATAATACCTTTATAATATATTATTAATATATTATTATAAGAATATATAATAAAATCTTAATAAGCTTTATATAAGTAAAATTATAACTTTTTATAGTATTTATATATTATATTATAATATATTTTTATAAGGCTAATTTAAAAATACTAATTAATAAAAGTATATATATTTATAATATATTTATAATAAATTAGTAATATATTATTAATATATTATAGGCTAGTAATATATATAAAAGTATTTTATTATATTAAAGTAAAAAGAGATTATAACTACACTTTTAATAAGTATTAATAAGCTTAAGTTTTTATTTTTATTACTATTAGCTATCTTTACTTATTTATAATTAACCTTATTAAGTATGCTAAATATAAGGAGAAGGTAATATATTATATACTTATTATAAATATATTATAACTAAAGCTAATAATTATATAGTTATTTAGCCTTATAAAAGGAGGATTTTAACTTATAACTTTAATAAAATATTCTAGTACTAAAGGTTTAAAAGCTAGAGTATTAAATAGCCTTTAAAGTAATAAAATAAAATAATAATTTATAAGGCAGTAGTAATATATAAGTAATATATTAAGTATATAATACTTATAAAAACCTTATAGTTCTTTATAATATATTTATAATATATTCTTAATATATATATTTATACTTTTAATATAAATATTATATATATAAGGTAATAATTTATAATATATACTAAATATATTACTTATATATTATAGTTTTATAAATATCTTTTACTATTATATATAATTTTTATATAAATATATAAACTTTTAATATAATAATATATTTAAAAAGTATTAAAAAAGTATTTACTAAATTAGTATTAGCTTTATAAAATATAACTTTAATATTAAATTATAATATATTTATAATTTATTAATAATAAATTACTTTTTTATAACCTTTTTTTTATTTTTCTTTACTTTTTTACTCTCCTTATTATTAAATATATTAATTAAAATATTTTAAACTAGCTATTAAAAGTATTTTTAAATAGTATAAGTATATATTATAAACTTAAGTAAATATATTAAAATAATATATTAATATTTAATTTATAATATATTATTAATTTATTAGCCTTATTTATTTATTATTATTTAGCTAGCCTTAATAATATTTATACTTAGCCTTAGTATTAAGGCTAGTATCCTTTTTTATAATATAATAATTTACTTAAAAAGTAAATATATTAGTAATAAAATATAATATATTAATAATATATTAATAAAAAATACCTTGCCTTAAGTATAGCTTTTACTACTGCTTTTATAAAAAAAGAGGTTTAAACTATTAATATTAAAGCTTAAGTATTATAAAATATTATAGCTAGGTAGTGCTTTTATAAGTATTATAAGTAAAGGTATAAGACCTTTATTATTATTAAGGGCCCTTATTATATTATAATAGTACTTTATAATATATTAATAATATATTTTAAATATATTAGTAAAAAGTTAATAATACTTATAGTATTTAATACTTTTTAATTATTAGCAGTCTCTTTTTATACTTTTTTAAAAGTGCTATAATAGCTATAAATAATATAGTTCTTAAAGTTTAAAGTATATAAAAAAGGTTAATTTTAAGTAATATATTAGTAATATAATATTAATATATTATTAATATATATAAGTTATAAGTAATACCTTATATTAAAATAAAGGTTCTTACTACTTATAAATATATAATAAAACACTTTTTTAAATAAAAGGATAATTTTACTAATTTTTTAAAATATAAATATATTAGCTTTTTATAATATATTATAAATATATTATAAATATATTAATAGATTTTACTTTATATTTAAATAGCACTAGTTTTTTTTAATATATACTGCTAGCTTTATTATTATTAGCTAGTTATTTAGCTTTATAATAAATATAAGTATTATACTACTTTAATATAATTAATATATATAGTATAATAATATATATAAAATAAGTTAAGAATATATTAAGAATATATTAAAATATTATAATATTATAAAAGTTATTAATATTAAAGGTTATATATTAAAAAAAGAAAAGATAAATAGTTAATATATTAAAAAGGTATTTAACTTTAGTATAAAAGCTAATATAACCTATACTTTACTTTTTAAAAATTTTAGCTAATTAAATTATAAGAAGTATAGGTTATATAAGGTTTTTTAATATAGTAAAAAAATTAGAAAAGTAGAGCATAGGTTATGTTAGACTAGGGTGTATAGGTCATTTAAGGTAGCACCTCGATGGAAATAGTCTTAACACCGCCGCAACGCCACCCGATGCCAAAATCGAAGCCTTTTTCTTCTTTCTTTTTCTCCCACGCCATCATCGTATTCCTTTACGTAGCCCTATATGTCTGAGACGATAAGATTTCGGCACCTTTAACAAGGGCGAGATCATCTTAAGAGCAGTCTCAAAGAGAGGGGGTCACATTACATGAGGCCTGCTACTGAGATGGTGAACCACGCGAGTCAGGAGACACAAACTGACGCCCTGAAGAAACTTGGTTTTGGCTCTCGGTAGTCACTAGCGAGCGACCACCCCCTAGACTATTGATTCGCTCTCTTGAGGATTTCTCGGCTGCTGCTTGGCTTTGAAAATTTGTTTGGTATCGGGGTCAATGGTTGTTACCTTTGATGCGAGATCACGCCATCACGGTGTAATGGCCATGACTGGTCGACTTCAGATAGCAAAGAGATCGATTGATCGATTGACCGATGAGTTTATCGCATTCTTGATCTTTGTCCATGGTATTGGGTGGACCAATACTGGTCGTTTGTCTTCTAGAAGTCTCGGTAGTTGAAGAGCGAGTCAAGTCCCAGGAGCTGAAGTTCGCATGCCGTGTTCTACTAATAAACCGAAGGTGTGCAAAGTGACAGGCAAACAGCCAACGCTTGACTTGGCAAGAAACGCATCATTCAATCTCACTAGGGTCGCATATTGCCAGAAAATCGCAAAGAAGAGCTCTTTGCAGCCCTTTTCAAGACCAACTGCCTTCTGCCAAAAAGCCAGCAGTTCCTACACAGAACAGTAAATACATTGTCGGGTATACCAGTAACCAACTAGAGAAAAACCATTGCTTGCCAGAGATTGAGACATCCATGTTCCACCAACGCCAGGCTTATTTATACCAGTGTGCCATTGCATCGTGTACCCCGAGCCAAATTCAGACAGTCGTCTCCCTAGTGAAAGTATATCCCCCTATGGACCCTCTGCAGATGGTTGTAGCATTCTGCACTCGTGTCAAAGGATGAAAGACATACCCAGCAGACGTGAGCTCCGCAGCCGCATATCATGTGGTCGCACCCGTCAGACTTCTCCATCATGCGCGAGCATCTCGGACAGTCTTTGATGCCAAGTTGCCTCTTTGTCTTCTTGTCAAGCACACTGTTGGGATCGCGTTCGAGGCCAGTACAAGGCCCTTCCGGGTGCGGATCCTGGCAGATTGTGCAGACAGATCTCAGACACTTGTTGCATGTAAAGATGCCGGGATGGTCGGAGTCAGGGGGGAGAATCCGATATACCTGGTCACAGTCGGGAGTTGCGCAGTACGCGAGCTCGGCCGGACGACGGCTGACGTAGGACTCAAAGGACTTTTTGAGGACTTGCTCAAAAAGCCCCGACGGAAGAGACTCCTGAAGCTCCGTAAGGGAGAAAGCCTTTCCACAAAGACCCCCACGGTCAGTATCTGTCGGGCAGCGAATCTGAAACTCTTTCGATGCCCTCATTTCAGCCTCACAGCAACGAACGAAGCAAGGGCCACAGTAGACATGACCACAGGACATGCGAACGGGCTCTTCAGGCTCGCAGAAGCACGCCGGACAGTTCAAGCCGGAAGTGGGATCCTTCTGGCGGGACGCAGTCATCTTGCGGCCGATGATGGCCATGGCCCTGTTGTAGTCCGCTTTGGGCCCCGTGATGACGAGCTGGGGACCCTCTGCTGAGACTCTCAACACTGCGTCCTGCGTCAGCTGCGAGTTGAGATACTTGAACCCGCCCGACGATGCCCACTTGAAGTCAACGCCGTTGAGGTCGATGGCGTGGCTCTCAGGAACCCTCTTCTGGAGTGCTGTCGCGATTGTCTCGACAGTCTCTTGGTCCAGTTCGTCATCTCCGTAGATGCGGAAGAGCGACCTGCGCAAGTCGGGCACAATGAGCACATTGCAGGCCCATTCCAAAGTCCCCAGTACGCCGGTGGGCATATCTTGAGCAAAGAGACTGCAGAACCGGACGTCTTTCGCCTCGAGTCTCACAATGTCTCCGCTCATGGCTTTCTCGACGAAGTGTCTCGCTCGAGCCACGGAATCATGGTCCTCGCCTTCAAGCCTCAGACATCGGAAATGCCCCTCGGGACGACCTTCATGGAAATAGGTCTGCTCCCGCTCCCAGAATGGCTGCTGTGCAACGATCCTCGACCGTATCCACTTGTAGATTTGATCCAGGAGCTTGAACTTGACCGATGCCACGATGGAAACCGAAAGCGTCGTTGCCTTTCCAAAGGGCAGAAGCTTCTCGTGCAAAGCAGCGGCGGCGTTTCTTGCCATTGACTCCTCTTGGAAGAGGCCGTACGCATGGAATCGCTGGGTATCGTTGCTTGGAGGCAGCACCCAGCGCGTGACGGGACCAAACCGCTGCAACATCGTCTTGACAACCGAGGCGTTGTACTCTAGGTCGCAAGCGTGATCGGCAACCTTGACCAAGACCTTGAGAGGACGATCAGACTCTGGAATAGCTGCCACGACGTCTGGCGCTTCCGCTGTATCGAGAAGTCCGGTGAGTTGCACTATCCGTCTGTCCTGGGAGCCCTCAACGCTCGCCTGCACTCTGCTTCCGAGCACCATCAACGTTCCGTCCATGGCCCTCTTCAGCAGCTCGTTTGCAGCGTTCTCGGTACTGAAGAGCAGCTTGGCACTTCGCGTCGGCCGGGCCCAGGAGCAGTGTACCACACGACAGTCGACCTGGGGGCTCTGGCTTGCTGGCAAAGCCGGGGGAACGGGAAATGCCTGGAGGCCCCGGTAGGTGATGTATGTGGCCAGCTTGCTGCTGGCTGTTTTGGCGAACATCGAATCCTCGGCCTTGACAATGGCATTGTACCGCTTGCACACCGGCTGCTCGAAGAGGGCTATATCAAGCCCCTGTGTAGGCATGCCCACATCCTCCAGCAACTCCTGGACAAATGCGACGGTGCTGCCCTGTGGAAGATTCCGGATCTCGACGGCAGAGAAGTCGGAAGCAAAGGCAACTTTCGAAACCAATGCTCCAGCGTCGAACCTGACCCAGGCCCCTCCGAGTTCATAGAGGCCACCGGCGTCGAGGAGCTCGTCCTGGTACATTCTCATGTTAGCCAATGTTGCCTGAGAGGTGGTGAAACGTACCGTTGTGGCCTCTTGGGCGTCTCCTGGCTTTCCCTTCTTCTTATGGGAAAGTTTGCAGTCCTTTCCCATGTCACAGCACCCCAGAGCCCAAGCCCAGCATGGTCCTCCTGTCGGCTTTCTGGGACGCGGAAGGAAATAGCCTGGTGGCTCTGGGAAGAGATGTCCTTCCATGTCCCGGGGAACCAGCCGCCGTCGAGGCTCGACCACTCTCGACGCCCGCGCACGTACGTTGCGGTAACGCTGCAAGCCGATGCGAGGCTGCTCATCCTGAGCTTGGGGCAGGAAACGAGGCAGGGGTGGAACATGCCGCGCCGGCTGTACTGGCAACGTGTCGCGACGATTGTCCAGGTCGTGCTGCACGTCGAGGCTCTCCGGGTCCGCGAGCGCTGCCTCGTTCTCGTTTCCGTGTACCAACCGACAGAGATGCCCTCTGGGACAGACTGCTCTGGCGTGGTACCGACAGACCCCAGTGACGAGGGGCTGCAATTCCCGAGGGTGAGCTGCCACGCCCTGGTGACCAGGCTCTTGGTGTCCTGGACGTTGTGGTCTGGGAGCACGGCGGTGCTCCTCTGCGTCTCGCGGCTGGCCTTGCCGCGACTCGACTCTTCGACCGGAGACGACGTTGCCCATGGTGAAGACGTGGTGCTTGTCTCGAGGGGCAGCAAAGAGATGGTGAAGGTACTCGACTCTGAAGTCTCGACTTGATACAGAGGCGGATATCTGTTGACAAGAGCAGAATGAAGTTCAGCTTGTAAACAGATGTGAGTGTGTCAAACGATGGAGTGAGAGTAGGTGAATCAGATTGCGGACAGCAGGGGGATCTCTCTCCTTTATATGCGCGTTGGACATTGTGAAGGATGTGATGCATTTTGTTGAGGCGTTGCAAAGTTTCAGCCCCTAAATTCTATGTGCTCAACCGAACCACGATGGCGTATCAGAGAATCAGAAGGCGTCCTTAGAGTTGATTGTGCTTTCAACTAAGTCATTAAGCTTACGTGTAGCCTTAACTTAGCCTCCGTGAATATTGCCGTTATAGATACAGATTGACAAGCCAAGGCAGGGACAAGTTCCCGTTTGCGGCAGGATACCAGATTTTGGCGTCTACTAGGGAAGTCAGAATGAACATCTGCATCATTAGTCTTAACTGACATTCTGGAAGAGAGGCAACGGAACAGATTCCCAAGCTTCAGAACAGTTGACAACTCGTCATGCCGAGATGATAGGTCAGTAGCCTTTGCATGTGCACTCTAAGATTGTTATCTCCCGACCTCTCTCTTCATATCATCTCTTTTTCAAGTCTTACTTTGAGCATGAGCGGTGATGCTCCTCAATGTCTTTGTCTGGTTGAGGCATACTGTGTTGGGGCCAGCGTTTACCATAGATTGATGAAGAATGGCCAGCGGCTGTTCTTACGGCTGTTCTTACGGCTGTTCTTTGCGGAAGTGGCTGTGGTTTCTCTCCACAGTACTTGCAGTTACGGTTTGCTATTGTCTCCTTTTATTTAAGCAGACCGGAATGTTTTCGGCTCTAATGATACCTTAGGTATGTTTGCCCATAGAGGTACCTGGTAATGTCAACGTGCATTCTCATGAACTTCTGTAACCCACCCCATCTCGGCTTTACCTAAGAGGGGCGAAGTGTAAACTGGATGGCGGCATAAAACTTACCCTCATACTCCCGAGCGCCCCCTCAGATGCCCACTCTCATCAATCCATTGAGTAAGGACTCTGGGACTTGAAAATCAAGAGGCGGCAAAGATGAGCTTCGTATGGGGCAAAATCCTTTGATGAACGAACAGACTTTCTAGAAAAGACTGTAATGGCCCTGCTAAACTCGGCGAGTTTTTATCAAAGTCAGAGAGTCTAATATGAATAGTCTCCCTGATCTCCCTTTTTCCCTCCGGATGGCTGGTAAAGGTATCATGAGGGCTCGGCGGATTAACTGTAGGCGGAAGAAAATGGCATCCCAACGTGAGAATCTGGCCGAAACAACGCCTTCGCTTCATATGGACAAACATGATCAGACTGCATATGTAGCATAGCTTGCTCGGCTCTGCGTCTTCTAACCGCCTTGGGCTTTCCACTTCGAAAAAATGAGTTGTGTGGCTTTCAACACCAATTCAACCGTTGAAAGTTCAGTTTCGGAGCTTGTCTAAGTGCAGACATCAGGTAATTTGTGGCTGTCCAAGTACAACTGAAGTTATTGATGCCTTGACTACGCTTCCTTTCCCTCAAGACAAGGATTACTTTGCATCTGAGGCCGTTCTGATTGTAGATATCGCAAGGCGGATTTGTGGGTAGCTGAAAAGGACCTTGGAGATTCCAGAAGCAAGTGCCTACAAGAGGGGGGGAGATACAGATGGCTAACCTAGAAGTAAAAGGAAGTCGTTGCTTCTTTGACGCATCATGCCGTCTGTTATTCTTCACTCTTGTAGACAGTTTCGCACGACGCAAACCCTTTTTCTAAATATCAACTTGGTTGTGTTAACTTCGTTCTGGCCTCCAATCACCATGTGAGATTGTCGTGAAATCACGAGTGCGTAGCACAAGTTTCTCGGCACACTGCAGCCATTCGGAAATTCCCTCGACACGGCCGTTTCAGTCGTTGGCCAAACCCAAACCATTCGTAACTCAAGACAGCCGTAACATTAACGATATCATGAATCTCCTTGACGAATAGCCTATGATTGCAAGACTGGATCCTACCCCATACAATAATCTCGGCTCTAACGGCTCTAGCCGTGATTGATAAAGGCTTGGAAATACCATCCCCGCGCTGTGGCTCTTAGATTTGTAAGCTTGGTCATCATGTCAGGATGGCTTCAGCTGAGAAGATCGCTTCTGAGGACAAGTTATAAAGGACCCCCGGAGAGTCAGTTTCTATGAACATAGGTAGGTAGATTGTATATCTCCAATGGTTTAAAAACTGCTGGCCACAAGATTCACGATCCCTTTTCACATATTGCTTGAAACTATCGGCAAGACAGCAGTGACCGTACGCCTACATCAGCAACGCAATAAGATGGCGTCAGTTCAACAGGTGTGGAAAGCATCAATCCTGGGAAGAGATAGCATCATCTTGTCCACCTACTCATCTCACAAACCAGACATATCACGACAAGGGCCGGTTTACTCGCCCAGATAGCACCTTTCGAAACTTCATCTCTAAAGATCCCGAGTCTCAATTTCCTGCTGAAAGGGGTCGCTATGCCCTCTATCTCTCGCCTGGCTGTCCATGGGTTCGTGGGCCTGAACACACTTGGACCTCCTCTTGTTCGTTTGCTGACCCAGGTATGATACGTCTTAAACGGAGTATAGGCCCATAGAACAATGATAGTGCGGCTTCTTAAAGGACTGGATTCCATCATCGATCTCTACCAAGTTCACTTCCACATGGGGTCGGAGGGATGGTACTTTAGCGGCGAAGGAGGCTCGCTTCCAGAGGATCCGCTGCACGGCTTCAAGAAGCTCAAAGATCTCTACCTCAAGGCTGACCCCAACTATACCGGTCGATACACTGTCCCAGTACTGTGGGACAAGAAGGCCGATGTCCTCGTCAACAACGAATCTTCGGAGATTATCCGCATGCTCTACTCTGAATTCGACGAGTTTCTGCCGGAAAACCTTCGCGAAGACAATCGCCCTGGAAAGGGTCTCTACCCGCCACATCTGAGAGCCGAGATTGATGCCATGAACGAGTGGGTATACGATACGGTTAATAACGGCGTGTACAAAGTCGGCTTCTCCAAGTCCCAAGAGTCCTACGACGAGAACATCCGCCCCCTCTTTGCGTCACTGGATCGACTCGAAGAACATCTCGGGCACGGCAAGCCATTTCTGCTGGGAGACTCCATCACCGAGGCAGATGTACGCTTGTACACGACTCTGGCCCGCTTCGACGTGGCATATCACAGCGTCTTCCAGTGCAACCTCAAGTCGATCCGCCATGACTATCCGCGACTTCACGGCTGGCTGCGAAGGCTTTATTGGGATCAGGATGAGGAGGGGCCTCTTCGAGCGGCGTTTTATCGCACGACGGCGCCGAATATCGGACGCTATGCGCTGGGATATGCGGATTCCAGGTGGAGGATTGTACAAGAGGGACAGGGGCCTTTGATAGTGCCTGCTGGACCGTTGGTACTGATGGAGCCCCTTTGACCCGGGAGGTTCAATGGTGGTTTATGTCAAGGAGTAGAAGGGATTTGTTTATGCTCACTTCGAAAATTTGAAGCTCAATTAAGTTCTGAAAAGACATTGTTCAGCATCTATTCGTTTTTACCCTTCATTGTGACCTTTAGAGCCATCCAACAGCGTCATCCAACACCCACCGAACCGTCATCAACACCGTCTTCTCATCCAATTCCGCATCAATAGGAACAACATCATATTCCTTGCCACTGGGCTTTTCATATGAAGCTAGCTGGCTATCGACCAAATCTACACTCATATAATGCCCGTGGCGCTCCTTCAGTCTCTTGACGAGAGCCTCTTTGTCCGCTTGCAGGTCAATGAAAACGACCTTTACCTTGAGTGCGGACAAATGAAGGCGGATTTTGTCGCGATACGCTTCTTTCAGCGCGGAGCAACTGATTACGACTGAATCATGAGCGAGGTTGAAAAGCGTATCTGTCGCGCGCTGGCTGATACGGTCCAGCCATGATGTGCGATCATCATCAGTGAGACTCACACCAGATTGCATCTTCTCGATGGACAAACAAGAGTGTAATTCGTCGCCTTCGATAAACGGAACATCAAGCGTCTGCGAGAGTGCTCTTCCAATGGTGGATTTTCCCGTTCCACAGGGTCCTATCATGATAATCGCCCTTTTTTGAATCCTAGTTGGAGACGTCGGGATGTTCCATGCTCTGTCGGTGAGAAAGCCGACAAATTTCGCGACATGCGATTCCTGAAGACTCGGAAATTTGCTCAGGGCCGGTGACAGAGATTGTGCTACATCTGTAGCAAACAGCTTGGGAGGACTGAATGAGTCCTTGTCATACTTGGAAGCGAAAAAGTCTACCAATTTGATCGGCGGGTTTGCAATTGGATCGGGGTTCGATCCTCGCAATCTCTTGATCCATTCTTTTGGCTCGACTTCGTCAAAGACAAGTCCGCATTTGCGCAGAGCCGGCAGAAGATCGCCTGTCCAGCTGAAGACTTGCGGATTGGTGACATTGGCAAAGACACTGCCTGCTCCGGAGAGTGAAATGTCCGTGACAGCATCTGCTACAACATCGACCGGTAACCACGATGGCGTCTCCTGGAGTTTTGGCAGAGTCCCGATAGTGACTGCAGTCTGGAGCATCATGGGCACCGCTTCCTGAGCATTCCAGACGCCGTGCTCCGTATCGCCAATGATCTGCCCGATGCGCAACACGCGAGTCGTGACGCCTTGAGAGGCAGCTCTCGCGCAGATGTGCTCAGCGACAGACTTGGACTGGGCATATCCCATGTTCTGAGCCCATGAAAAGTCCGGAACTCGCTCGGGCACCGGGGTCTCTGTCGCCTGCGAGCATGTACTGACGGACGAGCAAAAGTTCATACTTGCGGGCGACTGCGCTGATTGACAGAGGGAAATGAGGTTACATACACCCGCGATGTTTGCCTTTTCGAAGCTCAGAAGGTGCATGTTGAAGTTGACTGACCATGCACAGTGAACGACTGCAGTGAGGTTCTCAGTTACAGTCCTGTAATCCTCTTGAGAGAGGCCAAGATCTGGCTCCGACAGGTCTGATGGTAGGGCTTTGATCTTGCGCCGCGAAGATAGTGGTAGTAAGTGATAGACTCTTCTCTGGAGCATCGAGCTTACAACTCGTTGATGACCATGAGACGGATCGCGTGCGCGAACCAGGCAGTAGACTTGATTGATATCTGGCCGCGATGCTAGTTTTGCAACCACATGAGCTCCTAGAGAACCTGTGGCGCCTGTAACGACCTGACGAAGCAGCAAATTAGCTACTAGACAGTTGTCTGTTGCTGGGAAATGGTAGACTTACAACAGCTGCATCTGTAGCCTTTGAAGGGATCTTGGCTGAATACTTCATCACCAAGCTCCCCATCTGCTGTATGATGGATGGCTCCTCTCTCGTGTCTCCGCCGGTGCGAAGACTTAGGAGGAAGCTACTCAATCTCTTGATCGTTGGATGCTCAAAGACGACTTGCTGGCCAAGCTTGTTTCCACCGATGTCAATTCTCCGCAGGATCTCACTTCTCATCTGAATGGCTTGCAGGGAGTCGAGGCCCAAGACGAAAAAGTCGTCGTCAGCTTCAACCGGATTGGCCATGCGGAGGGCACTTGTTAAAAGATCGCTGAGGAACTGTTGCAGCTCTGAGAGATTGAGTCGAGACAGCTCGCCAGGTACCGTATCTACACGGTCATACGTCTCCTCAATCTCGTGCTGAAATTGTTTATAGAAGGCCTGGCGAATGATGCTTCCCTTGTCCGTCCGAGGATATGCGCAATCATGTGGCAATATCCGAATCATGTTTCTCGAGATCCGGGCAAAGGAATCTGCAGACTGGTTTGCTGAAGTGACGATGGGCCAAACCATATCGAGTATCTCTCCTTCAGAACGACCGGCCAATGTCGCAGCAGGAACAAGCAGCAGTCCCAGATGCGAACGCCCAGCGCCAAATACGACGGCTTCGGCGACGCTCTTGTTGGATCGAATCTTTCCTTCCATCAACACTGGGTTGAACTTTTCTCCATTGACGAGAACGATCGTGTCGTCGAGTCGAGCAATGTACTTCCAGGCTCTGGGAATGCTCGGGTGCGGTTGAAACAGGTCTTTCGTCGCATAAGAGCCGTCGGGTTGATTAGATTGTACTTTGGATGGCCAACCGTCCAAGACGACGCATTCGTACAGATTCGGGCCTCGTTGGACCCAGCGAAGAAATGAAGAAACGTTGTCCGTTTCTCGTACATAGTTCCACGCCTTGTCGCCCTCAGGTCGGAACGAGGTCATCAGCTGCCCAACCTCAGTACTATGTTGTGGTTAACGTCAGAGTGGAAGTAACAAAAAGTCGTCAGAATCACTTACGCCCCGTAATGACCAATGAGATTGACCCCATTGTCGACGAGAAGGTTGCCAAGATCGTCTGGACAGGCCGAGCCACCGTACATGACAACCTTGAGCTCCTGAAGCAGGCTAATGCCTCTGTGTGACTCTGAGAGTAACTTGAGTGCATAAGGGACACCGTAGAAGATCTCGAAGCGATGTGCTTGCATGACCTTTAGCAGGTAGTCTTGAGTCAAGGGAAGCTCGGCGTTGTAAAGGTGGATAGACTTTCGACAATATAGTGCTCGAAAGAAGTTACAGATGCCATGATTGTGGAACAGCGGCAGCGTAATGAATGACTTCATCTCCATGCTCACAGCGTAGTTTGCGAGACATGCTCTGTGAGGCTGGTATATCGGCTTTGGGTGGCCAGTTGATCCTTTCGCATGGTTAGATTGAGTCGCACAAGACATGATACTCGTCGAAAACTTACCACTTGAGTGTATGATAAAGGCGATGTTGTGAGTCTCAACTTCAGGATCGAGATGCGAATCAAGCTGGGTATCACCATGAGCCTCGATTGGATACTCGAATGCCGCGCGATCAATGATGTCAAGCAGCTCCAAGGAGGGGACTAATTGCTGCACTCCTCTGGCTGTGTTGAAATGTTTCTTATCGGCGATGATTGTGGCCGCCGACGTGGCATTCACAAGAGACTCAACAGCTTCAACCGTGATTCTCGTAGACACAAGTAGGACAGTATGCCCGAGCTTTGTCAAAGCCAGCAACGTGATGAGATACTCAAGGTTTGACAGCCCTAAGAGCGCTACAACACGCGGCTTCTCTTTCGAAGACTTTCGCGTTGGAATGGATTGCGCATAGTGAGTTGCCACCCTCCACGCAAACACATCAAGCTGTTGTAGATTGTAGTTTACATAGTCGATGCCTGATCTTGGATACGAGACAATGTGATCCCGGGGGTAGTTGATAGCTCGTTGGCGCACCAATGCATCGACTGTTCGTAATGCCGAATCAGGCTTGGATGTCGTGGTAGGAGTTGTGGATGTTGCCACAGACGGTGCCAGGCCGAGTCCAGGTGACGCCTCTGGTGGCTTTGGCCGAGATGAAGGAATGTATATCGTCGCAGGCATGATGCTTCTAGCTCTATTGGCTCATACAAAGGATGGGAGGTTGCGTCCAACGATCGCGTTAATAAGGAGCCTGTTCCACGTACAATCGACGCCAACCATAATTGCAGAACATTGATTACATATACTCAAAGTCACACCGACGATGGGAATCCTATGACAACATACTTCCTTGCGTTACCGGAGCTTCATGACTTTGCTCGGATTATTATCCGACGCTTCGATGATCTTTTCCTCCTGGCTTCGGATAAAGGTCCGCTATATCCACCCCTTGTTTAGCAAGATGTGAGTGGAACTTTACCCCAGATTCACGAAACGCGGGGCTAGTTGCATGTGAACCTGGGGATCCGGTAGAAGTGCTTGCTATGCGTGCTTGCTATGCCGTATATTCGGAGGAGCCTATGCGGATTCTGCTGATGATAAGATGCTGGCACAGTCCGGTTGTTGCCAGAAAGGATGAGTGTCTCTCCCTTGTCTGACCAGCTAATGTAGAGACCTTTCATGTTCTACCTTGACCAAGTTGATCATTGCTCATTTTACCCATTTTGTGTCTTTCAAACGAATCCAATATGGCTACAGACTATGCCAAATCTGAAAAGCCAGACATCGTCTTGGTGGACGACAGAGATGCCCTCGCTGCAAACCATGACTTGGAGAAGTCGTCTCAAGTCAGAATTATCGACAACTTCACAGTTCTGGGTCTGAGTGAGGAAGACGCGGCCTTTTACGATAGCTTTACGGAGAAGCAAAGAAAGCAGATAATAAGAAAGGTAATACAAGTCATCCCATATTTGACTCACAAGTACATGGACTTTTCAATGCTGACTGCCTGATGTGATGTAGGTTGATTGGCGGTTGGTGCCAATGCTGGCGATTCTCTACCTGATATCTCAACTCGATCGCGCAAACATCGGCAACGCAAAGATCGAAGGCCTGTCCGAAGATCTTCATCTCGTCGGAAACCAGTATAACATTGTCTTGGCGCTCTTCTTCATCCCCTACATCCTGCTCGAAGTTCCCAGCAATGTCCTGTTGCGAAAGTTCAGGCCCTCTGTGTATCTCGGTTCTCTCGTCACTGCCTGGGGCATCATCATGACCTTGCATGGTGTTGTCAACAATTTCGGCGGCTTGCTTGCTGTTCGACTACTCCTCGGTGTGTTTGAAGCGGGATTCTACCCTGGTGCCATCTATCTCTGTGCATTCTGGTACATGCCCAAAGAACTCGCGGTCCGGATTGCATACTTTTACTGCACCAGTGCTCTATCTGGAGCATTTTCTGGCCTTTTGGCTGCCGCAATTGCTCTCATGGATGGTGTTGGCGGCTACGAAGGGTGGCGATGGATTTTCCTCCTTGAGGGAATCGCCACCACTATCCTCGGCATACTCTGCTTCTTCTTCCTCGTCGATTCCCCCGCGCTGTCTGGGAAATGGCTCTCTCCAGATGAGATCAGATTCCTTGAGCTTCAGTCCTTCGTGAAGCAAGGTGGACGCTTCTCGGTACAGAATGCTGAGAAGAAGCTCAACTGGTTTGAGTTCAAGATGGTTCTCACCAACTGGAGGCTCTACCTTCAGGCATACCTCCTGTTGTGCATTTCGGCCTGCTCGTACGGAACCAAATTCACGCTCCCTTCCATTGTCAAGGCCATGGGCTTTACCAACAACACTACGGCACAGCTCATGACTGTACCGGCCTACGTGGCAGGCGCTCTCTCATCCATCTTCTTTGCTTACTTGTCGGATCGGTTTCTCTGGAGAATGCCCTTCATTGCCGTCCCCATGTCGCTCATCACCATCGGTTACGCGGTGGTCATGGGTTTCAACGGCAAACTCGGGGGAAGCCACACGGGGCCGGGGTACTTTGCTCTTGTGTTGACTTGCATGGGCATCTACCCTGTGCATCCGTCAGTTACAAGCTGGGCTGCCAACAACTTGGCGCCGGCCAACCGTCGTGCCATTGGTCTTGCTTTCTGCATCTGCATGGGAAATATCGGTGGCATCATTGGCAGTTTCATGTATCTCGACAACGAAGCACCTACCTATCCCACCGGCTTTGGACTCTCTCTTGCCTTTGGTGCTTCTGGCGTCATCGCGGCCATCGTTCTTGAGTTGAGCTATATGTGGGCGAACAAGCAGAAGTCTAAAATCCCAGAGGAAGAGGTCAGGGCGCGGTATACGGAAGACGAGCTGCTGAGGCTGGGCGATAAGAGCTTGCTGTTCAAGTATTTGCTATGAGAGACCATGATATTGTTGGCCTTCAGTTCCTTTCGCATTTGTTTCAGGGACACAGTCTACACGCATGTCAGAATGTATGAAGCCACTCTCTTTCCGTGTTCGAGTTTGGTCACCCCCATTCATTGGACGTTTTTGTCATATAAGTGATTGTGTTCGAGCTATTGTGCTTTATCTTTTTGCCATACAAGCAAACGAGTAACGCCGCATTGTTTCAGACCAGTCATTGAAGGCGTATGCCACGGTTCCCCTTGATGTTGACCAAGATAAAGTGCCATTACAAAAACTTCTCAGGCCTCAACTTCATTAAAGCATGGTCCCTGCATAACAACCAAGCGATCTGCATCAGACCAGACCCAGGCAACTCTAGAGCGGGACATGGGGTTGATGTTCGTAAGCCTATCCTGACATCCCCGCATCGAACACCATCCCGCCCCCTGTCCTCTCCTCCACAACTCCACGCAGCCCACTTGTGACTCCGCTGTCTTTCCCCAGCATTAATACTTCATCCTTCGGCTTCTTTTCCGCCTCTTCTCTGCTTTTATTTGCAGTGACAGCAAGCAGACTCACAGAGCTCGCTTTCGGAAACAAGGTCCTCATCTCGCCCCCCCCCCCGGTTATCCACTGCCTTCGCCTTGACTAACCAATGGCACCTGAGCTGTCAAACCAGAAGCGAAGCGCTGAGAGTGTTGTCGACGCTTCACAGGATCATCCTGAAGCTGCTGCCTCTCGGAAGACGCGCAAGGTTAGCCGCGCTTGTGACTATTGCAAGTTTCGCAAGGCCAAGTGCACCGGTGACCAGCCATGCGCGAAATGCATATCAAGGGGTCGAATATGTCTGTATGAGGCAAGATACACTCGCGGCATGCCGCCCACGCCTCCTCCGTCCTCGGATACTAGCCACCGGCAGGCTGTCGGTGGCGGCAGAGCTTCCCTGAGTGAATCCTTTACCACCTCTGAAGCCACGACTGTGATTTCAAGTTCAGACACAACTCCAAGCGATGTTGTGACACTGGGTCGGCCATCTCAAAGGCTGGGAGGGCCTGTTGCTCCCTCTCGCGCATCTCCGGAGCTCGGGATGGCGGAGATCCAGGGCCAAGTATTTGATCCAACATCAAGTCTTGCTTTCCTCCATCGGGCATCACGACGCCTCTCAGCTCAGGGCGATAGTCAAGGCATTGATGATTCACGGTCGGTGGCGGAGAACCAGCTGATGTTTATGGCTGGAGACAAGCCTCTGGCAAGTGAAGGCGACAACATTCGCCAGCAGCCTACATTGCCTGATCCAGAAGATGCCAGAACTCTGCTGACACTGTACTTTGATGTGTGTATCGCAACATACCGCATCTTACACCGTCCATCTACGGAGTCATGGTTAGGCATTATGGAAAGCAACTTGGCAGATGGTGTAGCCGTATGGCAGACAGTCGGCCGTGCCAAAGCAGCCATCATATACGCAATACTTGCGATAGCCAAGTTTCACCAGGAGAAGTCCAAGGGCTGTCCTACTAAAGAGTGTCAGGCTCTTCGTCTAGGTGACCAATTCTTCCGCTTCTCAATGCGACTCGCAGACCAAGAGACGGGATACCCCCGACTGGAATCAGCTCAGGTCCGCATCGTCCAAGTGTTATACCTGTTGACAACCTCACGTTTCAACCAGAGCTGGTACGTTTTTGGAAATGCGTTGCAGCTTATCTCGGCCCTCGGCTTGCAGCGTCGCGCGGACTGGAGGAGAAGACACAAGTCGGCGGCCGATTACATCGAGAAGCAGTGTTCTCTCAGAACCTTTTGGACTGCCTATGTTCTGGACAACTACCTGGGGGTAGTATTCGGACGGCCACGCCACTTTCACGACGATAACATTGATCAAGACCTGCCTGATCGGATCAACGACGAAGACATGTCAGCGGATGGCCCTGTTGGTGACTTTGATGATCGCCGCGGATGCCATACTGACGCCTTGGTCTTTCACGCACGGTAAGGCAACAAAACTGTTTCTGAAAGATCCTCTTTCATCTCATTAACATTCTCGGCATAGGATCGCCAAGATTATCGGCGCCATCTCGCAGGAAATGTATACAGAAAACCACTCGTCTGAAGTCGAGAGAATAGCCGCCGCCAAAGACTTAACACAACTGATTCGCGACTGGCACCAAAGCCTCCCGGCTCATCTAGGCGCAGTTCATCCATCGATATTGATCCCTAGCTATCGAAGGCCAGCATTAGCCCTTGGTCTCGCTCACTCGCACGCCATCATGCACGCCAACCGCCTGTTTCTCATGCGCACCCCTGCATCAGCCTACGTAACGCAAGTCGGCGACTGCATTAGGGCTGCCAAAGATGTGCTCGAGTCGGTGGACACTATGGCCCGCGGAAGTCCAATATTTCACGCCTTTTGGTGGACTCATTATGTGACATTTTGTGCACTTGTGGTCACTTACGTATGGGTAATGCAACAATATCGCATGGGCACGACGGATGATTCAGGCTACAGAACAAAGTTGATGCAGCTGGCAGAGAGTTGCCATGGCCATCTTGCTCGAGCAACTGCTTCCAACTCTCCCAGTCGACGATACGCAGTTATACTCGAAGGATTCAAGGCTGCTGCTATGGCGGAGTCAACTTCGCAGCGTTCAAGAATGCATTCCACGGCACCGAACGAACACCAGGAGGCTCATAGTACAGGCACTCCAGTAATGGATACGGACAATGGAGCCGGCTTCACATTCATGTTTCAAAGCAGCTTGCCTACAGAAATGCCTACATTCCTCGACTGGCAACTAACAGACTGGCTAGATCTAGACTCATCCGTAAGTATACCCATTATATGTATGACCATCTCCGTTGTTGACTTCTTGCAGGCTTTCTGGCCAAGCTTCAACCTGGATGAGGCAGTAAGATCACCGGATGGATTCGAAATCGGAGCTTAGCAAGACTATACACAAGGTTGCTCCATTGCATAGTTCGATCGGAAATAACATTGAGGTCTCTTGCGGGTCCGTAGCTCAGAGTTTGCATGCTGAAGCGTATATTTATTGATCTGAGGTCATCCTTTTCTGCTGATAGTGCTGGAGTTTAAGAAGACGTCTTCTCTTCCTTAGCTCACTCAACTGCTATCTAACAGATCCAGCTACCTAGTTCAGAGACTCGGCTCTCAATTGCTCGAGTATATTGTGCTCGTTGTTTTCATTCATCGCGCTTTCGACGAGAGAACGAAATACCTTTGAGACAGCATTCTCCGAATCACTCATAGGCGACCATTCACCCTCACTCTCGGAATCAGTCAACGACTGATCGCGGACGCGCCTCACATGATTATTCAAAACGACCACTCGGATGGCGTGACGCAACCTCATCCGATTCATGTACTTGCGATAATTCATTTGGGCCATGGTCAATGGAACAACGCGCCTCTGGGCATGGATCCAAGGATGCCTCAAGGCATTCTATCAAGAGTGTCGAGCCCTCGTTAGAACATGTCGCTAAGAAATGGGTAGCATTCTTTGTATAGACGTACCTTGGACGTGATACGACCTTTAGCCTCTGGAATGAGTGTCTGGCAGATGAAGTCTTTTGCATCGCTGCTAACATCCTTCCAATACCTTTCGTGAAACACGATACTGCCCTGATTGCACTCTTCGTAAAGATCATGCATGTTCTCGCTCCTGAATGGTGAGTAGCCGCATAAGAGGGTATAAGTAATTACTCCGATTGACCAAACATCCGCCGGCCGGCCGTGTCCCTCATTGGACATTGCTTCAGGGGCTGCGTATCCGAAAGTCCCAACACGATCTGTGACGACTTCTTCAGGTGAGGAGAGGATGGCCGAATGAGCAAAGCCGGCCAAAACAAGAGGCGACTCCAAGTCCCGGCTGAGGTAGTGTATGTTATCGGGCTTTATATCTGTCAATCGTTAGTAAAGAGCCTGCGTCAAGGAAACCAGAATTGCTGACTTTGGTGGATGATGAGGTTCTCATGCAGATATGAGACGGCATGGAGAATTTGTAAAACAACCGATGCTGCATCTCTCTCCATGAATTTCCCTTGATCACAGATACGCTCAAATAGATCGCCTCCAGCAGTATGTTGCATGACTATGTAGTATTTATCCTAGACCCGTTTGTCAGCGGGAACTAATATGATAGAAGCATGAGTGAACGAACTCTTGATTCAAACCAATCAACAAACCCGATGATGTTGGGATGTTTCAACCGTCGTAGCACATTGATCTCGTTAGCTGTCTCTTGTGCTGTTGTGGCTGATGCCTTCTTCGTAATGACTTTGATCGAGACCTTGCCCATAGGGCCATCTGCTGCGCGGACAACTGCGTTGCTGCTTGCGTACATGGTTCTTCCAAGAACGTATCTGGCTCTAGGAGTTTGAGTTAGGACAGCTATTGGGAGCAAAGCTAAGGGATAGATCGATAAGCTCACTTTTTCTCATAACTTTCAGGCTGTTTCCGGAGCCTGTCGAAGATGCCCCCAAAGAAATTCGATGGCGCGTTCTCGAGTTTTATGTCATCGTACGTCCCAGTCCCAGATGATGTTGATGCTGCAGCCCCGTACGTTATTGCGGGTTGAATCCGAGGTGAGTGACCGGCCTGATCTTTACTATCGGCTGCTCCCGATGCCATCCCCAAGTCATAGGGACCTCGGCCACGAAGCCTCGAACTGGAACTGCTGTTGTCCTCTAGGCTTGGACTAGATTGCTTGCCACGGGCAGAAGCAGCCGACGACTCATCAACCTGCGCCGTACCAACTTTGCCCGGCGATGTTGCCTTGTCCGAAATCGGCTCACCATCTCGTCCTTCAGACTCATCTGACCCTACTGCCCTACTTGTCTGATTCCTAGATAGATGGCTAAGAACGGGGTCTGGCTCTTCATCCATCAGCGACTTTTGAGCAGATTTGTAGTTATTGAAGCCAATATCACCCCATATTGTGTCGCTTGTATCTGGGTACGTCTCAGCGGGATGCAATATAGTTTTCTTGGAATCAAAGTATGACTCGAAGTATGATTCATCGATAAGATCATCTAGTCGTCTGAGGCGAAGATCATCCATATCAGAAGGATAAGATGCCTTGGAATCTTTGCCCCTCAGCCGCCGTTTGTCGCCATCGCCAACAGAGGTCGTAGACGCCCTTTCGTCATCGTTTCCGTCTGTGAAGATGGGAATTGTCACAAAGGTAAATGATTTCACATGCTGGGCGATATGCTTGCCCAATAAGCGTCGGATATCTTGATCCTGGCTTGTTGGTATGATGGGCACAATCGAGGCTGGAACACAATCGCAGAAAGGACAAGCATATCGGTCGTCTCGAGTGAGCACTTTTTGCTTTTTCCTTGAGAGCGTATCGATTTGAGACTCAGTGGGTGGTTTCCGACCAGGATGGCTCTTTTCGTCCTTCATGTGGGCGACAAAGTCAGCATGATTGTTGAATTGGCGAACTTGATCACCGTGGTCAACGTCACAGTACCACGTTTTCATATGGATTCTGCGATTCCAATCCTCTGAATGCACTGTATCCATGTGCTCGAGCCATTTGTTCATGCCAGAGAAAAACAGAAACGGAGCTCTGCAGTCCTCGGACAAGCACACGTATGGCTGTATGTCGGCGTCGAGATGGTTCCTGCCAACGCATCAGAGCCTTCCTATCGTCTCGTTCCCAAGACATTGACTTACTCCCAGTAAGCTGCGTCTCGCTGGAGTCTTTCTGACTCCAAGGGCTTTGCGCAATATGGGCAAGCACAATACTTGTCCCCTGCTGATGGTTTCGGACTCTGAGGGTACCCAATAGCTGCAGTATGTATAGAAGATCCGTTGCTAATGGCAGAGAGTGCCGGGCCATGCTTAATGATTCTTCGGACTACCGTACTTTGCAGCTCGCTCCTCGACCCAAGAGAGCTAGACGGCAAGTCGTGCTTCTCTCTTAATGCGCGGAGCACCAGAGGCTGAACTGCTGATTGAGGTCGGGGGTGTGATTGCTGCGACTTCAGTACTTGAGGCGTGTCATTTGGGGCTGGCCTAGGCGTTGGCACTGCTTCCTCTCGCCGTCTACCGAGCTTCTCTTCGTGAACCTTCTTGGAAGAGGAGGCTCGAGGACAGCTACCAGCAAATTGGCAAGTCTTGCCTCAATTTTCGAGAACTAGCTGAGAGGTTTTATCATCCCACACTACCTGATAGCATGAAGCGGACTGCAGCAATCTATAGGTATATCCTGGCTCCGTTGCACCAGATCATTACCCAGAGATTCTGCAGCACGTCTCTTCTGTTCAAAGAGTTTCCCCAATCTACGAAAGGCTCCCAGATACCGTCATCTTCCCTCTCCCAACCGGGATGGGGATCGCCACTGAAATGGTTTGATGACTCCGAGTCGGGCTTGCACGATCCCATGTAGGTAATGGCTAATATTGGGGATAACGTGTCCGAAGAGAAATCCGATGCTAAAATTATCTGCAGTAAAACATCTTATGCGAGAGAGTTCATGCGGAGCATTCGACCTTTTGTCGAAATGATTCGAAGTCTTCCCGATACATGCGCTGCGCCCCCTCCCTGGCAGACATGGAGGACACGAAAGATACGAATTGCAATCATTGACACTGGTATTGATGCAGAGAACGACATCACAATGCAAACAGCTCTTGCCTATGGCTCCATCAAGAGCTGTCGGGGCTTCGCGGGCAACGAAGAGGACTTTCAAGATGTCCACGGCCACGGGACGCATATTGCTCGGCTTATGCTTACCGTTGCTCCTGCGGCGGAATTATACGTTGCAAAGATAGCAAACGAGAAGACTCTCGACTCATCAGCTCTGTCTCGCATAGCGGAGGTACTTCTTCCCAATGCGTGCCTATAACCGGTCCGAGTTGTTTGCTGACACCAATATCACAGGCTATCAAGTGGGCTCACAAGACCATGAAAGTCGATATCATATCGCTTTCGTTTGGACTAGACTCCAACAATCGTAATGTCGAAATCGACAAGGCCATCTTCAATGCCATCTCAGACGACACAATCATCTTCGCCGCATCCGCAAACAACGGCGGCAACAGACCCAGGGCGTATCCTGCCAACAGGCGGACAGGCGTCATATGCATCCACGCAAGCGACGGCCGAGGCAATGACGGCGGCATAAGTCCGTCTCCGGAACCACGAAAGTCGAACTTCTCAACGCTGGGCATCTCCATCGAGTCACGGTGGAAGGGCAAGAAGGTGCTGAAATCGGGGACATCGTTTGCAACTCCCATTGCTGCCGCGATTGCAGCGAATATGCTCGAGTTTGCTCGATACAAGTGTTCGCTTGATGAATATGAGCATAGGCGGCTACACAGCTACGATAGCATTGAGGAGGTTCTTCATTTGATGGCTGAGGAGCGGCAGGGGTATCATTATATCATGCCACTGCGCATGTGGGATGGCGCGGATGATACGGATGTGGCTGGAAAACTGGTGGAAATTGCTAGATCATGAGAAGTTCTGTAGGGGTGCGATTTCATCATGGCCTCTATTTTGACAAGGGAAGTCTTGAAGACATTGACATTTGATGATTCAGTTGGGAGAGGAAGACCCTTGCCATCATTAACATCTGCAGAAGAGGCGATTGGCATGTAGTCCCTAATCCAAGGAGTTTATTGTGTCCTCAACTCTCACCGAAAGGTGCTCGTATGAAGGGTCTGCAGAGTTCTTCATGGCCGCTTCACTGACCATACCGCCCTTTGCCTTCACTGAGAGTTCTAGCTCATATGCAACGGTCAAGGTGTGATATTTGACCTGTTTGACGCCATTTGAGTCTACTGCCCAGCGTTCGTTGCGCCATGAGCTGGGGCCAGTCCATTGCGATACCTGAAGGCATTTGGCGGAGGCATCTGCATATAACACATTGCCATCAGAGCGTCTGAAGAACCAATGCTCAGCTATGTGCTTGGCGATGACATCGACCTGATTCTTCCTTTGCTCTACAACCTCGAGCTCTATAATGAAGGCTTGTGTTGAGGACGAAATGACCCCAAAAATTCCCTTGATCCAACCGGCCTCGAAGCGTAACGGTGCATCCCAGTTCCAATCCGGCCAGTCCTCGTGGCTAATTGTCAGAACCAGCTGTCGTGGGTGCAATCCAGGCGTTTGTAAAACTTTGAGTAGCATGCCTTTTTCTACGGCTTCTACCGTTGCATACACGTGTAAGCTTCCGATCTCGACTCTTGATTGGCCTAGTTGCCTCTCGATTATTGAGAGCAGCTTGTTGAGTTTCTGCATGGCCTGCGCCCAGAGTATGGGACGAAAATGCGCCCTGGTGAGCCAGATAGATTGCTCTATGGTCTTGAAAGGGAGAAACCAGGCTTCGAGATACACGGCGCGACATGTCGCAAGAAGCTCAAGGCATATCTTGCGTGGTGCAGAGTAGGAGGGTTTCCAAGTATCATTGATAGGGTACGGATTGTTTACGTCTTCGTATTCTGCGACCGTGTACGCAAATATTTTGGAGCGTACTTCTGGTGGAAGACGAGAGAAGAGCGGCGAGTCTTTCTGCATATCGACCTGTTGGGAAGCGATCCGCTGATGGAGAGGAGTTTGCGCGGTTTGTTGATTGGATTCCATTTTGAATCATGGGAAGAGAGACGATGATTTGGCAGGCTCAAGGCGTAAGGAGAGAGGGTAGATGTGTTGATAGGCTCGAGGGGAGATGAGAAACAGCTTCGGCAAATGCGGAGAAGGACCAGCTTTATGCTTGGCAAGGCGGCAAAACAGGTCGAAAAGGCTGCCTTGTGTGACTTTGTCCGTTGCACCAAAGACTTCAACTGAGTGCTGCTATTCGTGCTGTAGGTTTGCCTGTCGATCTGATATTGAGGCATCTGTCTACTGGAAGCGGCGTTCCTGGGGAATCAGCATTCGGTGGATAGATTTGCGAAAAGATCTTGGGGTCGGACGGCATTCCTCATCAGCTCCTTAGTAGAAGGTTATTGTGTTTTTCTTTGTTTCGGTGGCATTTACATAAAAGGAGGACTTTATTATAGAGGTATTCACTCTACATGAGCTCGAAACCTTTCAACCATGAGCTTGCTGGAACATAATGGAGGCTCATCGATAGCTAGTTGTGCATTCCACGCAGCCGAAAGAGGGACTGTTGCAGAGCATTGGGATTCTATGTCATGAGAATTTCATATCAAAATCACTGCACGATAAGTGAGGATTTTACAAGAAGAGCTGGTGATTCACATCGTCTCAAGGGTAGCAATAATGCAATTGCCCGTCGAAGATACCGACCCAATGTTCGCTCTTGCGACTGTCTGCATGAGTTTAGTCTATAAGTCAAGAAAGCTCACCATCAAAACATCAAAGCGTAATTGGTTTAGTGGTAAAATTCTCCGTTGCCATCCGCAACGTCGGGGAGCCCTGGGTTCGATTCCCAGATTACGCATTGAAATTCCTTTAATTTTTGCCATTCTTTCATTTTTTGCAACACGATGCCGGCACGCTTAACAAATGGATGTCTCTAGGTAGGTATCGATGCCTTTGTATGTGGTGATGTACATAATATGCAGAATCTACAGGTTTCCTCGAATAGTCCCTCAAAGCTCGCCGTGAGTCTCCTGCCGCTGCAAAAACGAGGGCACCAAAGCCTTCCAGAGCGGCCCCTTTCCAGCCTGCAACCTCTTGTGCTCAAACACGCCCTTCATGGCGGGCACAAAGTCCACAATGCCCAGCTTTCGTTCCGGTTTCTTCCACCCCAGCTCGACCGGGAATCGTTCTTCCGTCAACCAAATTTCGACCTTCTCCTTGGGGGCGCAGTATGAGTCCGGCGAGGGGAAGCTCCAGCCCGAGGGAATTGGCCCGTCATTCATCATCAGCAGAAGGAGACTTGCTTCGAAATATGTGAAGAATGACTCCTTAAGGGTCAGTTCCTGAGGGGCCGAGAGAGCCTCGACGTGGAGGCGAGTCTTTGCAAGTGACGAAACCGTGATACAGTCGGTAGGGCTGTCCTCCAAAAGGTGCTTGATCCGCTCGGGGGACGCAGCACACTCTAGGCTATCGGGGTCGGTGACATCGTCTCGCGTGAGAGAAGCAATGTGCTGTATGATGCCCGGACGGTTCAACTCGGGCAGGTCAATGGCGGATTTGTTCACTGCCTTCATGAAGTCGTTTGCAATCTTTGAAACTGCCTTGCCGTCGAGATTGATGGCTTCGGTAACTGCATCAGTTAATTGCTGCGCTGTGATGTTGCGGCCGTTGTGAGGTCTTGAAAACGTTCAATTAGCTCTCAAACTATGATCAATTGGCCTCGAATTGGAGGAGGAATTAGTACAGATAGTTGTGATTTGCCAGCGTATTCAGCATTGGGCAAGGACTGCGCAAATCATCCGGACCAGGCGCTTCATAAGGTCGAAGGCCCTCGGTGGCAGCCGACAAGGCAATAAGAGAAGCAATCACAAGTTTCGAGGCCATTGGTACGCTATAGTTGTCGATGATGGATCCCTCAAATTACCTAGGTAGGTTCCTAGGCATGCACTTTTCTTTGCGTAGAGGCATTCGAAAAAGACACGAATGCATCAACTCTACAAAGACGGTGAGGCGGACAAATTCCCCGGCTTATCAGTTCCATGCTTCACGCATAGTTATCCTGGCAGGAAATTGTTTCATCACGTGGCATCGAGCTGACAGGGCCGTTCAAATCTGACATTCTTTTACCGAGATAAGCGTGCATTTTCATTTCCGAAAGAGAGCTGCTGACATCGTCATGATGACCTGGTGGCAGCTGCCAGAGAAGCTCTCAGCTTTGATTTAGTGCGATTGAAGCCCAGGGAAGATGGAGCTGGCGAAGTGCTAAGAAAGTGAAATCGCCAGCTGAAAGGTCAAGAACTGGTAAGGTCACTTTGACCTGATAGTGGCCGGAGGGACCGGTTGCCGTATGTGGCAGTCAGGATCTGGTTTCCTAGATCCCCGGCCGCTTGTAGTTGGCAGATGGAGAGACCCACGAGATCAGTCGAATGATGAGGCTAACTTCAAACATGAGAGTTCGTAGATCGTGGAATAGCCGGGGCGGTGGTTATACAAAGCGGTGTGAAGATGTAGGAGCACTCTTTCGACAACCAATCTGGCTTCACCGCACTGAGTAGAGTACCTGGGAAGGACGCGGCCAATGAATGTGACCCAGTGATGGAATGGGAAACCTAAGTACTCCAAGCAGCTACTCGAATTGTCCCCGAGCTTGCGTGAGACATCCTGGCTTTATACAGGGTTTTGAGAGAACAGCAGTGTCTAGACTGTAATTGAGACATGACACCCGCTTCAGTCTCGGTATGTTACCACCTGATCAAGCAAAGGAGTACTTCTTCCTCTCGGCAGCAGAGAACGTGGTGATGTCAAACTGGTTACCTCCTCGCGAGCCATAAGCCGCAAGCTAAAAGAAGTCCCTGTCAGCTTTGTAACAACAATACAGAGATGACAAGCGAGCGTGCGACATACCTTGCTGGGAAACGTTCCCTTCGCCCACTTGGCCTGCGATGCAGCCGTCTTTCCTGCACCCCACTCATTGATCCCCTGAAGAGTCTCAGCGAACTTCTTCGGTCCAGCCAGCGTAATGTGTGCGACGGTGGCCTGCTGGACGACATAAGGGGTCCAGCCGACCTGGTCTTCCCAGCCGTAGTCGGTGCCCATAGAGTGTGCGTAGGTCAGGACAAGGGCGAGCATGATGCCGATGTTGGGGATCTGAGAGTCTTTGGCGAAGAGCTTGTTCTTCTGAAGGGAGCCAATGACGGTGATGGTCATGTAGCCGACGAGTTCGAGGATTTGGCCACAGCGGTCGGCATCATCACACACTGTAGGGTGTCAGTCATTGAAAAGATCTACTGATTCAACAAGTAGCCGAGAACTCACTCTGAAATTCGACACAGCCGCTGTTGAGGACCAAGGCGAGCCCTTCGAGCTCAAACCACAGTTCCATGACGGTGTGGTTCTTGCGCTTGAGCACCTTTTCAAAGTTGACAAACTATAGCAGGAGGTCAGCAACTGGCATTGTGAAGGAGCATTCATCGCCATGCAAATACTCACAATGTTCTCCATCACTTCGATGGTACCGTACCAGGTAAAGTCGTTGTAGACATGCATGAGAAAGTCATCCTGGTCCCTCTTGAGCAACTCCGAGATCCACCATTTCGAACGTTCGTTGCCGCGCATCGTCGAAACCCATTTGTGCTCGGGATGCAGAGAAGCAAGCTTGCCCACAACCTTGTGCATGGCACATTGCTCTTCCTTAGCCTTTTCCTTGCTGGCCTTGGCTTCCTCGGCAGCCTCCTCATTCTCCTCCTCGTTCTCCTCATCTTCCTCCTCCTCCTCATCCTCGTCCTCGTCCTCGTCCTCTTCTGAGTCCCGGGCTTCCAATGCCGGCGGGGAAATGCAAACAAAGTCTTCCGGGTTGTCGCCCTCGTCGTCTCCGCGAGGCTCGCCCTTGGCGAAAGCCTCTTCTCTCATCTTCCAATGCTTGGCAGTCAGGCCAATGGACTTCTTGTTCGCTTCCAGCCAGGGCGAGTTGAGCTCCCACCAGCGGCGGTTCCCCAGAGTGAACTCGTGGTTGGGGTCGCCGTCAATCTGCACCCACCGCTTGGACACGACCATCTTGTCGAGGGCTTTGATGCTCTCGCGGGGGAATGTCCGCGGGATGAAAAACTCGCCATTGGGCCCGACAGGCACTCTGCGGGTGTTGGGAATGGAAGAAGACGGCGACGGCGATGCTGCCGGTGCAGGCCCTGCAATCACGACAGGCTCTGGGGACTCTGTCGCCTGTGCGGCCGTCTTCTTACTCGCAGCGGCTCTTTTGGCGGTGGCAGCCCTTTTGGCGGGGGGTTTCTGGGCACTGCTGCCATCGCCTGTGTCCCTGATTGAGCGCTTCATGGCTGCGGAAGTGACGGACTACAAGCACAGTTGACAATGGAAACAGCGGGAACAGGAGGAAGCAAAGACGAGAACGCGAGATGCAGGATCAAACGTGTTGTGGTGATCCGAATAAAGGGCTCTGTCTGGTGTTTTTGCACCTCGTTATTTAGTTGACGTCAGCCGGCCATCAATGTGGTGTGAGGAAAGGGGAGAAAGTGACCTGTCACTTCGCGACGCGAGTTTCCGGGGGAGAGACGCGTTCTCTAAGCTGGAGCTGAATGTCCGCTTGGCCACTAATTGGCTAGCAGATGGATGTCAGAACATGGGGTGGTTGAGCTTGTGTGACGCTAGATTCTCTAGTTGTTGCTGACTTGCCCCTGTGAGAAGCCATGTCTTGTTCAGAGTGCAGCCATGGATCAAGGGACACGAGCAATGCACAGGTATGGAGGTATCGTAGGTGAGAGTTGCAGAATCAATAATAATGAAAGAAAGAACTTTTCGAAACAGATTACTGTTCCTATCTATCTTATATATAAAATATCTATCGCCCTGATCTGTACGAGGCGTCTATCTTTGTGCGTCTATCTAGTATCACCACCACATACCCATGCAGAGGCGGCAGGATTGTCAGAGTCTACATGTATCCCGCTACAAGTCCCAATCAACCAATGTCTCACTTCGAGGTAGCTTCTTGAAAAGACGACCTCTTTCTCAGCTTGCTACCCACGCGGTTGAACAAGATTGGCATCGAGACCATGGCCAGAGTGACAAATCCCAGCAACGAATTGCCCCAGCCATACCCCAGGGCGTCGTACATTGGCGGGCCAGCAAGAGGCAGAAGCGCGCCCACAAACGAGCGAGTCACCGTGATCGCTGCGATTCCCGAAGCCGCATGTAGAGGAAAGCAGTCGATGATGTAAGTTTGCAGAGTCCCGAAAATACCAATCAAGCCGAATGCAAACGGGAACAAGCCGATGATGGGCACGATCCAGTGCGTGTGCGCCTGCACCGACCAGCCATACCAGAAGAACGAGATGGGGACGAAGAGCGAAAAGGGGACGGTCAGGGGAAGGCGCATTTCCGGCTCAAAAACATCATTGTTGCGAGCCTTGAGCTTGATAAGCACTCTGTCACTGCAGAAGCCAAATACCGTTTGGCCAGCAACGAAGCCCAGGCCCAGACCAATGTAAGCCAGCCCGCTGATCTGCTCGCTCCAGTGATAGCCGCTCTGAAAGACCTCTGTGACAGTCGTGAAGAGGAGATATAAACAGCCGTAGACGACTGCTATGTACATTGCCACAATGGCGACAATGGGGGACCCAAAGAACAGCTGAAAAGGCGTCGTCAGCCGGTGGATGAAATGTGCTGTTTTGCTCTGCTGATTGTTGGAATCGTCATAGTAGCTGCGAAGGTCGGGACGGTTGAGTTCTTTTCGCAGCCGATTTGTCTTGCGCTGGATGATGATGACGGGGTTTGTTTCGCGGTTGAAGATCATGACAATGAGCGTAAATGTGCCTCCGACGATGACGAGGACCCAGAAGACCTACATAAATCCTTCTGGTCAATATGTGGACGAGGCTAGACTGAGATTGACAAGAGACATCGTGACTTACCCATCTCCATCCAGCGCCCTGAGCAATGAATCCACCACAGATAGGTCCCAAGACAGGTCCAAACAGCGGTCCAGCCGAGTAGATGGCCATGGCAAGTCCTCGCTGCTCCGGCTCAAACAGGTCAGAGACGACTCCGCCTCCAATTGTGAGGCATCCTGACCCCCCCAGCCCCGTGAGCAGTCGGAACACGATGATCGAGGAGAAGTTAGGTGCCAGAGCGCATCCTATCTGAAAGAGAACAAAAGCTGAAGTCGCCAAGCTAAGGATTATTCGACGTCCGTAAATCTCGCTGAGTGGTGATAGGAACAATGGACCGAACTATCGTCTTGTTAGCTGACCATCTCAAATATGAAGGCAGCTTTTGTACTCACGCCATAGCCGAAGAGGTAGGCTGTAACACCCAGGGACTTCAAGACTGAACCCTTTGTGCCAAACTCCTCTGCTGCGTTTGCCACTGCGGGAGCGAAAATGGATGAAGCTAGCGGACTGTAACATGGTGAGTTGTCAGTCTTCGAGATTGTTGTCATTCGAGAGGCAACATGGATATTGACTTACCTGATCAATGTGATGATACTGACCAGCGATAGAAGAAACCACTTTCGGAGAGCGGGATACTTTCTGTTGCAACAGTGTCAGGTGCTAGATGCCACACTTGGGATATAAGGAGGGCTATCGACCTTGGGTTCATTGGATCATCCTGGCTATCCCATGCTATGATGCCCTTTTCCATGTCTGTAACGGGATAGACTTCCCCTTTGACTTTTTGCTGTCCGTTGTCTTTTAGTCATGGATGCCTCCAGATGTCCATGGTGGGTTTGGTCTTACCTTTTCAGCATCATCTTGCTGAGATTTCTCCGACATTATGAACCCTAGTAAAGATGCTTTGGATCAAGATCAAGCTGAAGTTCTTGTATGAATAACTTATCCTGTAATTGAGAAGAGACGCCTCGAAAGTGCGAGTGAATGATACTTTTGATCTAGGCATGATTGCTGCTGTGGTAGGTGTTTATATATCAAGTTACAGAACTGAATATGTGATGTCGTTGCAAGGTTCTGTTGCCACAATACTCGGAGGATGCAACCAAATCTCCGGTTATACCGTCTTTGAGGTTAGCACCCCGGAGCTCGACTGCCTCCACTGCCGATGTATCACAGCATTTCACTGGCAAACAGAGGCATCGCCAGACACTGATCTCTCTCGGTGCCGATTCGGCAGGCCCTTTAAGCGGGTATGTGGAGGCGAGACTTGCCATCCTAGTAAGGAGAACGTCATTTGGCAGACACTCATTGGGTGCCATCCTCCTTGAAATCGGCTAGTCCTCGATATGAGGTCTCCGAAAGTCCGCATTCTGGGTTAGCAGTTCGCTCATCGACAGATGGTGTTGCATCCATAGGTATTCATGAAAGAGTGCCGTGTTGCCTTGACAGCATTTGGAGCATTCGCCTGTTACTGAGAGTCTTAATTGCCCCCAGCCGGCATTATTCCTGGCTTGCGCGCTCTGTCCGAGCAAGTTATTGCACATGTTGACAAGCAGACGCATCACAGCCTCCTTGCTTATACGGCACTTAACGGTGCCATGATGTCTTCAGCTCATAGCGATCACTACATGCCCTCGCCGCATAGCGACCGGGCTCCCGTAACGCAAACTACTCCAGCACAGCAGATCGATCAAACACACCTTGACAACAACGACAAGTTATTCTTTCAGCCACCCATAACGGATCGATGGCCTCGCCAGCCCGGAGACTTTCGCGATGTGCCAAAGAGGCTGTCCTGTGACTTTTGTCGCAGACGCAAGGTCAAGTGCGACAAACGAGATCCATGCGGCCAGTGCAGCATCTCATTCCAAGGTACGATATTGTCGAGCCGTGATGATTGTCACGTAGAATCACAAAATGACCTTGCATAGATTGCATCTATTCGGAGCGGTCAAAACGTGCCAGCAAGAAGACAAAACCTGCAACTCGATCAAATGCAGCGAGAAAACTGAAAGCAATGGGAGGGGATGAGTCCCGTCCTTCGTCTGCAGTCATTACGGCAGAAACAGCAACAGTATCAGCTCTCAGTCCACCACGTATCGAATCTTCTCTAGGATACCTGCCATCCTCGCCTAGTAACCTTGCCACCAGAAAGACAGATTCTGAAGAGATTGGGAAATGTGCAACCGCGCACCACTTCATCGAGCAGGGCGAAATTGAATTCCACGGTACTTCTGCCGAGAGAACGTTCATGGAAGAGCTGATGGAGAAAATCGGCGACAGCTCCGTGACTCATCCAAGACTCCCTATCCATGCCTCTGTCCCAGGCCTCTTCCACAGCGATGCACGAAACTCTGTTGACGTTCCTCTACCACCAAGAGATCAGGCTATGAGACTCGTCGAGGCTGCTCTTGATGCACAGGTTCTGCTGCACATCATCCACCGGCCAAGTTTCGACTTTTCTTTCCACATGATATATTCACTCGAGCCATCCGAATATAGCTTGAGAGAGCGGAGGTTTCTGCCCCTTCTCTACGCTGTCATTGCTTTTGGGAGCCTGTTCATCGACCCATATGGACACCGCCTGGGATACGACGAGCTTATCACGAGAGCGTAAATGCCCTCAATATCCCTGCCAATTTGTCTTGACATGTACTAACTCTGCTTTTAGGTCACGGTACTTTATCAAAAGCAAACAGCTACAAGACATTGCGACCTGTAACGACCTCGTTTCTCTCCAGGCTATTGTCTTCAAGAACCTCTTTCTTCTGTACACGACCCGGGCTCCGATATGTTATACCTATCTGTGCACGTCCATGTCGGTTGCCCTGCGCATGGGGCTGCACAAGTCATTCCACAACACGCAAGACATCTTGTCACGAGAAATCAGCAAGAGAGTGTTTATGGCTTTGAAGCTCCTGTCCTTGGAAATATCCGCATGCGTCGGGCTCCCAACTCTCCTCAATGACGAAGAATCCGATCAAGAACTGCCCCTGGAGGTGAATGATGCTTATATCCAGCGGGGGCGAGCGGCCAAACAGCCAACAAATGAGATATGCTATGCATCGGGATCGATCTGTTATTTCCGACTGCAAAACATTCTCTACCGAGTCCTGAAGGACATTTATCCTCGCAAAGGCCGGGCAAGCGTTGAAGCCTGTGGATCCATGAGCTACGTGGTCAAAGTCGATACCATCCGCGGTATCGAGCAGGACCTGGAGAGATGGGTCAAGGAGATACCCTTGGGTTACCGGCTAGGGACGTATTACCAGGATCGCGCTGTTCAGCGGTGGGTAACACATCAAGTAAAAGCCAGCATAGCATTTACTGATTCGATTTCCAGAGCCCAATTCGTTCTCGCATTGACTCATTCCTATATAAATCTACGCCTCTACAGACCATTTCTCCACTATGACATCGAGACCTCGAGTCAGACAAAACGGCAGCAAAGCAGCAGACGGTCACCATTTGCCTCTGCTTGTATTCAAGCATGCCAGAACATTATCGATCTGTGCCAGGATATCTGCAGATGGGGGTTGATGATCGAAGCAAGCTGGCCGACCATACGGACCTTGACCAGCTCCTTGCTGACGCTCTACTACCTAGCCATCATGCATCAGGACCCAGAAGAAGAAGACTTGATATACAGAGCGCTAACCACAGGGCGAAAGCTTCTTCAAGTCATGGAAAAGCGCAGCCACCAGGCTCGACGAAACGTGACTCTCTTCAAGGCAAGCCAACTTCCATGTCCACTTAGCTTATCACTTTGCTGATTCAATGGTTGAGACAGATCATTACGTCGAGCCTTTCTATCAAATTCAACCATGTACGGGAGAAGCTGGTGAAGTATGAGTTGGAGGCACCTACCATTCGGCAATGCGACCCTTCCTCTATCAGCGAAGAATATACTGCGGCGTTAGGGGACAGGATTTACACATTGTCATCAAAGAGGTATCTGGAAAGCCGCACCTGCAACCCTCGCTTACAAAATGGCTCGCCAAACGAAGGAGATAGGCCGTCGCAACCCGACAGTGGCTATCAGGATCTGAATGAAGCAAGCTCGCAGCAACAGCAGCACTTTGCAGATAAAACTGCAAAGGGCAACGTGGAGCTTCTTCCTACACCCGCCTCAACGGCATTTGACGCTTCACTGAAGGTGGAAGACTCGCCAGATACTGGCTCTGTAACGGTCCCCAATGCATCGGATTGTTGCATTCCGTCTGTGTCGAGGCCAATGCAAGGTGACTGTTTGATGGCTGGACCGACGATGGAGCTACCACAGGATGGGACCAATGGCTCCTGGATGAATGCCTTTGACTCGACAATATCGTCGGGCACGATGCACAGTCCCCTGAGGGATCTGTTAGGGAACATCACTCCAAACTTGGACGATGTCAATGACTTGTCTGATTTATGGGATTGGTTTTAGGGGTGGTGGCGAGTAAATGTACTATTCTATATTGCATGAGATATACCCCCCCGGTACCTCTCTTACAATTATCTGGATGAGAAGTCACTTGAACTTACCTGGTTTCATGAGGATGCCGAGTTTCATAAATGATATATCAAGAAGAGCACCTAACATGATGACAACAGGCTGGACAAGCACCTAGAGAATCGTAATGTCCCCTGGGTGCGGCAACACAAGATTCTTGAGGTTACTTCAGTCCTAGCTGATGGCCTCAAATAATGAATGAATAGCCAATCAGGTCCATATGCCTGTCTTGTTCAGCTGACAAGTTTCCCTCTTAGCCGTGATCTCAGCTGCCATCGATCATTCTATTATGGTGACGCTATCCGAAAACGGGAGCCATGCGCCAATCACGGCTATGCCCAACCAATCCTTCGATAACACGTCGGAGTACCCATCCAATGCGATGATTGACGCACTCCTATCGCAGAAGCAATTGACAATATGACGAGGAGTAGGGGTTCTTGACTCTTTAGGATTATTCAATATATTTTGGCTGACACCTTGATCCCTGAAAAGAGGCATGGCCTGCTCAAGAGTTGTTACACTATTATGGCAAAGATTCTGAGAACTTCCGACCAGCCGGTCAGACAGCAGTGATACAGCTGAAAGTTCGCTATCAATTTTCCCTTCCAAATCCAGATTTTTGAGTGTCCAGGAAAATCCTGTCTCAAGTCATCCGTGACGTATAGCTCTTTCAGTGAGTGTTCTCACGGGGTGTATCCCGAATTGGACGCCATACCCGTCAACAAGCTAGCAAGAATACTCATGATGCTAACAAACATCTCTTCAGGTATGGCGGAGACTCAGTCACTCAACTTCGTAGACGATTGCACCACGTTCAACTCCGGCTTGTGGAAAACAGCCAACTGGCGTATGGGCCTAGGATCAGTCCTGGCCGCAAATGTCAGCCCAAGTGGCGGCGGAGTGCTTAACTTTGAGATTCCCATGGGAACCCATGATGGCGGCGAGATTGTTTCCAAGGCACAATACCCTTTCGGCCAAGTCGCAGCACAGTTCAAAGTCCCGAACTTGCCTGGCGTCATCTCCAGCATCTTCATGTACCAAGGGACTTCCACCAGCGACGAGATTGATATCGAAGTATATCTTAACAGGGGCAGATGGGAGGTTGCATTTACTGTTTACCGTTTGGGAGTCAAGTCGTGGTCGAAGGGTTACTTCCCACCGTGGAACCCTAGTTCGGAATATTTCGACTATGTGATCGACTATCAGGAGGACGCCATCTCGTTCTATGCCAACAATGAGATGGTAGCCCAATATGCTTCGCCGTCGAAGCAACCGGTCCATCCGATGAATATTCAGCTCAATGCCTGGTTCCCAGAGTGGCTTGAAGGCAAATCGGCATCGGCGACTCGTTACTTGCAAGTCAATCAAATCTCATTCACACAACCCTAGAAGAAAATATATAGGATGCATCAATATCCCTAAAAGGGACCATCCGTAATTTTCCAATTGAAGGGGTGAGTGGCGATGGGGTATCAAAGGGCAATGAAAGGGTCTGAAGGAGGAGACGAGCACGCAAGAGGAGAACGAAAGAGTGGTCTTGGACCATCTCAAACTCAGCTGGTTTAAGTCATCTGGTATCTGCTATTTGTAAGGCTTTTGCTTTCCACTTGATAAATTTGGTAGTCTGTGACTGGTGGAAGTACAGAGGAATCATATAAGGAGTCATATATTACCATATTGGATGCCAAGTATGGAAATCCCGGGATTTCGTTTCTTTCATAGCCCGTTAGATCTCTTCACCCTGTAGCCGCGGATACTACATTCCTAAAGCAGTATTAAGCGTCGGCTTATACAGAATTATCTACGCATCCCGTCCGTCAGCCCCGCCCTCGGCCGCCTCGCCCGCCTCGCCCGCCTTTTACTACTATGATAATCGAGGAGACAGCTAGCTTCGACACGAGTAGAGTCGTAGGTCCGGGATGATATGCGCAGGAGGAGAGCTGAAATTGCATGGGAATATGCATGAATGCCCCATCCAAACCGATCTGTCTTACTCCTCTCTTTTTGCCTGGATGGGGTCTGTCATAGTCTGAGATACCCCGTGGGTTTGTTATCCCCGGCATTTCTTACTCCACCACTCTTCTACTACTATGGCTCCTGTTTAATAACTCGTGCTGTTTCCCTGATGCGAGGCTCAACAGTGTCAAGTGTCCAATTTCACTCTACAGGCCGTTGACAATAGTCGTGCCAGCATGTTCAGCCATCTGTTGGTTGTTACCTGCGCCGCAGGTCTTGGCCTGGCTTCAAGCATTGGGAAGCGCCAGTCGCAGACCGCTACAGTAAACCTCAGTCATATGCAAGGAGCACCGCAGCACTTTGCGTCCGGGTTCCTGTACGGTATTCCAGATACTCCAAATCAGATTCCCTCCCACTTTTACTCCGAGATTGCATTCAATTATGGAAGGGCTGGCGGTGCTCAACTCCCAGCCAAGGGCTACATGGACGGAGTAGAAGAGTATCAGGTGGGCATGTCTTTCGTCCACTTGGACCAGGGTTAATGTTGTGTAGCCTCGCTTTGCTTCTATGCTGTCAAACTATCGTACTTGCCGCCAGTTTGGTGCCGAGTTCATCGTCCTTCTCCACGATCTATGGGGTGCCGACGGATCGGAGTCTCAATCTGACTTGTTTCCTGGAGACAATGGAGACTGGAGCACTTGGGACAACTTTTTGGACCAAGTTGTTTCGGATATGCGAGCGAATAATATGACGGCTGCTGTCAAGGTTGACATTTGGAACGAGGCAGACGGCGGCGGCTTTTGGCTGAGAGATCGAAGCCAGTTCCTGGCCATGTATTCCAGAACGCACAATACGCTACGGTAAGCCGGGGAAACCCATCACTATTTTGGCCAGAGAATTCGTAGTAATGACACAAACAGAAACATCTTTCCCGAGGCGCAGATATTCGGACCAACCTTCACCGGGCAGCCGGATCCGAACAACGTCTGGTGGACAGACTGGCTGAGCATGATTGCGTCGAACAATATGATTCCCGACGTGTATTGCTGGCATTTGATTCGCCAACCTGGAGGCTCTGGTGGCGACGATATCACTTTCTCGAGGGGTGTCTTTGAGCAGATGCTGCAACAATTCGGCCTTCCATCACGTCCGATCAATATCGACGAATATGGTGTAAGGCATTTCGCCGTCATACATACAGTATTGCAGTCAGCTGACGGTATGATAGTCGCCCGAAGAGCAGGTTCCCGCCAGTTCCGCTTGGTTCATGGCTCGTTTCGAGCGCAACAACATTCACGGTCTCCGATCCGTTTGGACAGGTGGCCCGTCCTTACATGACTTCATGACCGACCTTTTGGGCAGAACCGGCGACGGCGTCTACTTCCCTGCAGGCGAATGGCAAGTGTACAGATACTATGGCACGAACATGACCGGCAATCGGGTCGAGACGAGCCCATCCGCGGACGGTTTCTTCGATGTATATGCGACGGCGAGCGACCGGGTGAGGATCCTCGGCTCAGCCCATACGCAAACAGGATCTTACACAGTCAACGTCGATGGAATGGCTGATTTTGGCTTTGATACCCATGGGACGGTCAACGTGCAGACGCGGGAGTTTCCGTATGCGGGCCTTCGCGGAGAGGTGGATGGACCGATTGATCACGGCGTGAGCCAGATATCGTTTGACAACAACCAGCTTGTCATTCCGGCAATAATCTCGGTGAACACGAGCGCCTACGCGTGGGAGGTGTTTCGCATCGAATGAGGCGTTTGCGAAGCAACACTGGTTTAGTATGGGCAGATATCTGCCTCTCATAGCCACTTATACAAGGCCTTCAACCAACCATTTATTGAGGCAAATGCTCTGAGACAGTTCAGGCTTTCGTCTACCTTAGCCTAGATCGATGTTAAGTGTAAATTGTATGCAATAAATCCGACCAATGACTAGCTAGTCAACTGATGAATCGGGAAGCCGTCGTAGATCGAGTCAGGTTCATCTGTCACCGCCTTGTCATCTCCCAGAGAACAGAAAATCGCAGCCATTGAACATCAAAAATCTCATAGTCCGTTCTTCTTCAAGAAGTCAAAGATGACTTTATATCCTGCCGTGGCGTTCAGAGACAATTGAACGACATGTCCAGTGTTGGGCTGGAGGTAGACGTCCAGATCCTTCACGTTGGGGTATATCCCGTGAAGCTGCGTCATGTTGAACGTCCCGGCACATTGACCGGCGCAAAAGGCAAAATCATTCTCACCAACGAAGATCTGCACCTCGTATCAGTATAATAATCGACAATTCTCCAATATCTGTGAAGAACTTACCTGTAGAGGCCCGGTAAAGGCTTCAACAAGATCCCCGACTCCAGTTCCAAGCGTCAAAACTTCACCCACTCCAAGGCTCGACTGAATCCTATCATTCCATAGGCTAAGCACATTGGGATCCAGTGTCTCTTTCTTGAAGCTGTCGGCCTGCAGAGCGGTGACACTGCCAAATGCCAGATAGCCGCTCGTCCGGTTTGCAAACAGTGCAGGGTTATGCTCGGGAGCATACGACAAGTCAGCAATTTCGACCTTGAGGTTGGCAAATTGGTTGTCATTCAGGAACCCAGTGAGTATTGCGCCCGCGCTAAGGGAGCCATATCGAGCGAGGAACCAGTTGGTAATGATTGATCCATAAGAATGGCCCACGTGAACGACCTTGTCGGCTGTATACTCTGTTATGCCGCTGCTTGCTCCAGTCTTTTCTGAGGCTGTGATGATTTTCCCATCAAGAGCTAGTTCGGTCAAAGCACGAAGGACTTCGCCTTGTAGAGGGACTTGAAGCTCATCGTATGCGTCGGGAAGAGACGATCGGCCAGCACCGAGGCGATCGTAAGCCAGGACAGCGTAACCCTGGGCCAATGCAGCATCAACGAACGAAAACTCGTCCGGACGATAAGTAGGATCCCAAACCCTACAGTCAATTGGTGAGCTGTCCGCAGAAAGATATGCTATCGAGACTCACTCTTTCGAGAAGCCAACGCCATGAGATGCAATAATGAGAATACTCTCGCCGTTCCGAGGATTTGTTGGAATGCAAAGGTGACCGCTTATCTGGTAGTCCCCGCCGACTTCAATACTCCCAACGGAAATCTCGTCAATCGTAAGAGCATCCCATCGGGTATATTAATCGTGCAAAGCCAGCAAATTAGCATCGGATAGTCTTCCAAGTGATATGTCACATACTCTCGACTCAAAGTGAACTCGACTGCATCAACGTTGCTATCGACTCTGACAGTGTTAAACTTGGTGTTATTGGCATGCGCGGCAACAGGGATGTTAAGCTCTACACAGTTAGAGGAGGCAGCAAGGACGAGGCGACTTGTGGCCATTAAAGCCAGCGACACGATAACCCTGGAGATGGACGACACCATGATGCGTGACTCAGCCTCAGTGAACGAGATGAGGATCATACGAAGGTCCAAAGTTCTTTAGGGTCTTTTACGGCAACAATGCTCTAAGGAGATCCCTGGGAATGGCGAGTCTATCAGCCAGCATCCCATGCTTGCTTGGTAATCGACGTTACACATCCAGTTGTGCATCATCACATAATATTTCCTTCCATCCAGCAATCCTGCGCTGTACGATAAGCAAACGTACATATAAGCTTGCCTATTGCAGCATATCATTCTTCCATAAAGGACACAAGTGCTTACTTGCCAATGGTATAAGCGGCTACTTGCAGGCAGAAGTAGGTGGCTGCAGATTGAAGATGTGCTCCCCGCATGGGTTTCCTAAATAGCAAGAGGCTTATAAGTTGCTGAGTATTCAAATCATGTGTTTGGCGTCTCGCCTGAATTGTTCGAATATTTAAATCGGTAAACAGCCCGTCTTGATGCGCAGCGCAAGGTACACAAACAGATCTACAAGAGCTTTCCCATAGCGGGAGAGTTTCTGCTCCAACTGTATAGATCAATTACTCGCCTTACCCAGGTTACATGGATGCGCATAATGGGGTGGTATACCAGAAGCAAGTCAAGTCGTTATGGGCAGCTAGAAGGAGAAGGAAAATTTGAAATTATAGGATACCCTTTTGTCCAAATAATGGAAGCTCTCTATGAGCCCCAATATATACCTTGATGCTGCCAATGCGTTCCCTTGGATGACATCCTGATGCCCAGGTTACATGTAGCCAGGTATTGCATGTATAATGTGCCTCTTCTGTAATTCATTATATATCCATTCCATTCTCGGCAATTGTGTTGAGTGTACAAGTCACGAACCCTAAGTTGATTTCCTTTTCTTCTACGCCTTGGTAGGTTGCTTGTCGAGATCGCTCAGGTTGTCCGTCTCAACGTATATGGTTGTCTCCTGAATAATATTCCTAGAGCTAGAGTATTCATCCTCTAGTCGCTCCCATTTGCCACCAACAGCCGTCGCCTTTCCACTGGGAGTAAGTGTGTCCAGCTTTGTGGACGGGGCGTGGTTATGAGTCTTGACAACCCCAGATCCGGTACCATAACCGTTGCTCTTGCTAGAAGAGCCGTTTTTAGAAGAATCGACATACTTGCGAACCAAGATGCGAAGCGCTGGGAGGCAGGCAGCGATGAGCGCGATGCCACTCTCAAGTAGACACCAAAGAGTGATGTAACCGTTCCAGTCTGCGGATTTTGTATAGTCAGCTTAGAAAATGATGCCAGTAACTCAGAGTCAAACTTACACAGTCGATCCTCTGTAACGAGGTAGTACTTAAGATACGGCGCTCGAATAATGGTGGCCGTGCTGGCCACAGCTCCGAGGCCCAAAATGAGCATCACAATCAACTTGTGCCGAGACGACATCTGCAGATTGCGCACAATAAAGTACGGAAGAATCGCACATGTCCAATCAGTCACGATTCCAATGGCAGTCCAGGCGTAGCCGATACGGACAACCACCATGAAATCGCCACAGGTACCGAGAAGAGGATTCCAATATGCTGGGAGCGGATGGCAGTAGAGAAGGGTCGCTAGTATGCCGACAATGGCCATGATGGTGGCCATGAAGAGCATTCCGTAGAGTCCCCAACGATGCCATTGCGTAGTGGTTATACGGTTAAGCGTAAACACTATTGAGGCTTTGATGAAAGGCATGGAGAAGCCGTATATGACGTTAGAGTACATCATATACTCGGCGCATCGAATCATAAGTAAGGGATTCAGTTTGGAGTCGTGCGAGCCCAGTCCATAGAAGCATGCCTTGATGGCGAATATCGCACTCGACAGAAAGGTTCCCTAAGATGTCGAATTGCTTATTGGTAAGCTAAGGTATACTAAAAGCAGAGGTGTTGGCGGCCATTATGTGCCATAGACTTGAAGAGACACTTACATAGCCTAGGACAATAAATGTGTCTTCCCATCCCCACGTTTTGGATGTCTTTTCCATCCATGCTCGGACATAGATCCTCAAAGAAATCACAACTGTGGATAGGACCGAGAAGATCAAGATGGCAATGACAATAGACAAAGCGAGACCTGTCGGCACAATGGGTGGCTCAGCATATGCTTGCTTCGAAAGCAGTTGCCCTTGCTTTAGAGGCGTGAGAGCTGAAGCATCAGCTGCCTGTGGAGCCATGGCGACTGAATATTCGCAGGAGACAATGCCGTATGGTTTGAATGATTATCATTATATCGGGCTGACAAATGCCAGCCTGTATGTATGCTTTTGACGCTTTGGAGATGTGCCAGTCTAATCTGCCCCTGAATCAAACTGCAAATACCACAAACGGACGACGACAGGGAGTTACTGAATCCTTCTCGGTAACGCCCAACGACTATGAGGATCACTGGCCAGTGACATGCCGTACTCGTATTTTGTGAATCCTCCATGAAGTGCATCTAACACTGGGAAGGACGATCTCGTTCCGCTTGAAAATTGCATACCCATTGGTTCCACCCTTCGTGACCAACTGTTTAGACCTAGCCTTATAGTTAGGCCTAAAAACCCTATTCCACCCTAAAAATTATTCTATTTAATTTATATAAGAAATATAGCTATTTTATAAAGATTATAATTTTTATTATAAATATAGCGTTTTTTTATAATTAAAATAGTTATATTTAGTGTTTTTATAATGCCCTTAAAGTCCTAAAGTTTACTAATATATTTATAATCTTCTTATATAGTATTTTAGCCCTAGCTAAGGTTAATAAGGGCAGTAAGTTAAGGAGGGTATTATTATTACTATTATTATTAAGAAAGGTAAGAAGGTTATAGTTACTGCTAGCCTTATTACTATTAGCTTTATTACTATTAGCTTTATTACTACTAGCCTTATTTAGTATTATAATTTATATTTTTTTTTATATAGCCTTTTATATTTCTTTTTATATAGCTTTTAGATTTTTATTATTAGTATTATTAAAGGGCCTTATTATAATATTAATAAAGCTATTAGTTAGCACTACTTAAAAGCACTTTAATATCTCTTTTAAAATTTATAGCTTTATTAAAGCCTATTAAAGGACTTTCTTAATATATTAAGATTATTATTTAGTTATATTTATAAAAAAAATATTATTTTTATAGCTTAAGAGCTTAATAAATGCCTTATTTTAAACTTTAAAAATAAGGAATTTATTTTTCTTTTTTATATAATTAAGCTAGGACTTAAATATTATCCTTTTTAGCCTAGCTGCCTTCCTTTTTATATAATTAGCCTGCTATTATATTTTTAATTATTTAATTTTAAGCTTAATAACTTAGCAGCCTTTATAAAGTTAGGCCTTTATTATTTTAGCCTTATTAGCCTTTCTTACTTACTAATTTTATTATTAAATTTATTTAAGATTAATAGTAGTATAAAATTCTATAATTAATTAAATAAAGCTGCTTTACTTCCTATAGTATAATAATAACTTAATATAGTAATTTTAATTAATTAAAAAGTTATTAATATTTTTTTTTAAGTATAGTAGCTTTTATAACTATAAGGCTAGCTTATTAAAAACCTTTATAAGTTAATAAGCTTATAAAATTACTATATTTTTTATAAATATAATAAATTAAAGCTAAAGCTTAATAAAAATATATATTCTTAAGTAGTAATAATAAAAATACTAAATTAATACTTTATTAATACTTTACTTATTAAATAAAGACTTTAGCTAGTATTAGTAAAATATTAAAAGAAAAAAGACTAGTCTTTTTAAATTTAAATATAATATTATATTTTATAAAGCCCTTATTATATATAGCTTAAAAGAAAGTTAAAAAGTCTAGCTTTATAAAGGCTAGGTTTTTTTAAAAAAGTAATTTTTAAAGTATTTTTTAATAAGCAGCTTTAAATAGCTAGAAAATACTAATATTAAGTAGCTAAAGGATATAGGTTAAATATAATAAAAATTAAATAATAATAATATTAAATTTAATATAATATTTAATAAAGTTAAGGCTTATATAGCTTATAAAGCTATTAATAATAAAAATATAATATATTTTTTTTTTTTAAGCTACTAGACTAGTAATATATTAAATAGCAGTGCTTATAATCTTTTAGAATTTTAAAGCTATATTATATAGCTAAACTACTTTTTAAAAAAGCAGCTAGACTTTTAAGCCTTAGCTAACTTTTATTATAAAATTTAATTAAAATAATAAAGCTATTTTAATATAATCTTAATATTTAAAAAGCTTATTTTTAAATAAGTAAAATAAATATTATAATTAGCCTTAATCTTTACTTAAGATTTAATAAGAAATATTTTAAAAATTATTTATAATAAAATAAACTTACTAATAGTATTAATATAGCTAAAAAAGGTATAAAACTTATAATTACTTAAATTAAGGACCTATAGCTACTAAGCTTAAAATATATAAATAATAATTATTTTATTAATAGTTAGATTATATACCTTTAAACACTACCTCTTCTTAGCTAAACTGTTTTATAAGAAATCTATTTCTTAATAAATTATTAAGACTACTATATATAAATAAGTTAAAATACTATTTAATTATATAAAGACTAAGCTATTCTAGCTTAGTTAAGCACTTTAAAGGCTTATATTTTAAAAACTAACTTACTTAATTTATTACTTAAGTTAAGGAGTGTCTCCTTTTTTATATATTACTATTACTATTTCTAGCTTAGTTAGCCTTATTATTCCTTATTAGTTATTATCTCCTTAGCCTATATTTTTTAAGCTATAAAATCCTTTTTATTAAGGCTTATTATTAAAAAAAGCCTTAATCTTTTTAAACTAGTATATTTTTTTTTTATTTTATTTACTATTTTATACCTTACTAGCCTTTTTTTATAACTCTCTTTTATATATAGTAATTAAATAAATGCCTTTAACTAATTATAAAATAATATACTAAATTATAATAAAACTATAAACTAAGTAAATTAAAACTTTTACCTTTTTTTATTTATCCTTTTAATCACCCACCACCCCCCCCCCCC